AGACCGGGATGGAGCAGCGAGGGAGCCCCGCATCAGCCCCCAGAACCGGAGAGGCTGGGAGGGGAGCGCCCCAACAGCCCGGGGTGTCCCCAGACCTCCCACCCTCCTCTGGTGCCCACAGGTCTGTGCCCTGACCTGCCACCACGGGCACATCGCCCCTCCGCAGCGACCTTGACTGTTACTGAACTTTCAATTACTTGTCTTTAATTAGTGCAGTCTTTTAACACGATGGGTGAGCTGAGAGCAGCCAGCAGGGATACAGAGTGCAATTGCTTCATACATGGAATTGTTTCTGGAAACGTGCAGCGCTGTGGTAACGTCAGTGTGCTAAACTGCTGCTTTCCTTTGAACCTGTCCCAGTGCTGGCAAGATCTTTCACGTTAAAAAAAAAAGGTAAAACCAATACTGAATTGCAGCAAACGTACACATACTGATATTACAAGCAGCACCAGTGCTGGGAACATACTAGTCTCTGATTCAGCAGCAGCCAGGTAGCAAAACACTGAAAATTTCATTATTTCATTCCATGAACAGAGAAGATACAACCAGATGGAGACACATCAGAAAGATGTTGCTTTTAAAAAGCAGAAATCTGCTAAATATCTATTTACATACAAATACATATGCCTGAGCAAGAGAAAAATGGGATTTTGAGAGGCTTTCTGACCAGTGACAGATATATGGATCCATAAACCTACTTTTGTTCATCAAAGCTGTTTGCAGTGCTCAGCTGGACAGGAGAGGGACTCTTTGGGTGAGCCATCTGTCAAAAGGAGAAAGGGGTCAGGTCTTGGAAGGTCAACTTAGTTCTAAGTTATGACTGAGATAAAAACACAGCGTCATTCTTCACTCACACCGTAAAACAGACACAGCAAATCCTAAAAATCAAAAGACCATTAATAACCCTCAGGTCCTCCTGGAAACTAGAACTTAGGTACCATGGGGAGGGGGGACGGGGGGGAAATCAGTATGAAATTCTGCGGACTTTAAAGCCAGTTTATCATTCCAAAAATGAGCCACATCATGACTTGCCTGAAATTTGCGCCGCAGTGCCTGTGTCATTATTGGTGTCAACCCAGACCCACATTCCATGTTCTCCTTACTATTTAGTGGAGTGCCTCCAGGACTTCTGAAAAGATTGGAAACAAAGGGAATTACAATTTGTTCTCTATTTTTTTTTTTTTTTCTAGAAAACCAAAGCAAGAGAATAGAAAGGGACTTACCTTTGTATATTGACTTTCTTCAGATGTTTTCGAAGATCAAACTGATTTTTAGGGGGGGTACTGAAAGAGAAAACAACACCAGACTTGTTGAAATATTTTCTACTCTGTAAATACAGGTCAACACTGTTGAGAACAGAAAAATCTACTATCAAAGAAAGCACCTTACGTTAAGGATTTTGCAATGTGAGCTGATGGCTTGGATTTAGGTCTTAGACTAACACTCTGTAAATCTGAGACTGTAATTAATGCTCTGCGTGTCTTCACTGGTGATTCTGCCTGAGGTGAGAAACAAAATGTTACCACAAATGAAATTTTAGAAAGCTTCACTGACCTTACATCTATTTAATATTTATACTCTGAATGACTTTTGTGGTTTATGGGTTTTTTATGCTTTTTTGAATCATTAAGATTTTAATGTGCCTTGGATAAAAATAGATTAATATAAACCCCCCACTTTTTGCAAACAAGATTTCATTTTCATTGCAATGGGAAAAAAAAAAAAAAAAAGGCCAAAATCTATTGAAGACATAGACATAAAGCTACAGGAAAGTTACATGCCCTTCATGTAAAATGAGGAGAATTTTGCTGTATGCCAGCTGATGTTGGAGTTAGACAATTTATTCACTTCAAATGCCCAGGTGCAGGATTAGAAGGATTACTTAAAGCTCATCTCTGGGTTTTTAGAAAAGAATAAGTAATTTATTGAAAAAAAAAATATATCTATGAGAGGCTAAGACAAGCATTGCAGGAAATATCCTGCATTAGTTCCAGGGTGAAGTTTGCCTGGATGCACCATCATCCATTTCTCCATGTGTCCTCCAGTTTACCTTGTCTGTTCTCAGGCTGCTGTTTGTCTTCTTCAGTTTAACATTCAGGAGATCTTTGAGAGTGATCTGCATCGGCCCATCTTTTTTCAGTGATGGTGCCTGAAAACAAAGGTGGTGGGAAGTCAGATATAGATGGGCAAGTGACTGAGCATTCCCAGACACACATTCCTCATGAAAATGGGTCCAAAGAACCCAGACGTGAGAGAAGAACCAGGAATGTTCCAGTCCATACCAGGGGTGCTTTGGAGCCATTGCCCTTTTTGAGGAAGAGAGGTGCTGGAGGAAGTTTTGGTGGGGGCAGTGGTGGTGGTGGTGGAGGAGGAGGAGGTGGAGGGGGTGCAGATCCGGGCTGCAGCTGCACTGCAGGAGGTCTGGATACTGGTGATGGTGAGCCTGTCTGCATTTGCCCAGTAGCACCCAGAACTGGTTTATTACACCTCTGACAAAGAGTATTTTCTGAAGACAAAGCTGCAGTTCCATTCATCTGAAAACAATAAATAGGAGAATATTAAATCCACTGGCAAAAGTAAATGGAATTTCAGACAGAGGTTCTGGCTTCAGTTGATTCAAAAAGAGCTAACAATCCTCTTACAGGGGTCACCAGCAAACTAGTTCCCTCTGGCTCTGAAGTAACCACAGTTTAGTGGTGCTGAAAGCAAAGAAGAGGTGAAGCTCTTGAGTTCAGTTTATCTGCACCGACCTCAGCTCCTGACATGCTTACACAAGCAACCACCACCCTGCCACACTGAGACTGACCTGGAGTGTTCCTTGTAGTCTGGAAAACTCAGCTTCCAACTTTTCCAGCTGCTCTCTGAATGTGCTTAGCTCCCTTAGGTAGATTTGTGATGGAAACATGGTGTCTTTAACCACCTTAAAACTCTAAGCATGAAAAGAAACCAGATAAGCACGTTCACCAAGTTATGTTTCCAGAGACAGCACTATGATTACTACTGAGAATTCTATCACAAGGTCTTCTGATTGTAGACAATGGGAAGGCACAACATGGAAATACAAAATTCCACCAAGTATTTCCTTGGCAGGAAGCCAAGGGGTGACTTTCTACAAAAGGACTCTAACTTCATCCAAGAATTGTAAAGCGTAATTCACATTTGACCTGAAAAATCCACACAATCATTTCTGCTATGAAGGAAAGCCTGCAGCCACTGCCACTGAAAATCCTCCTGATATTGCAGTAAAAAACCCTACAATTTCACATATGCATTTGATGCCTTGACACTCATTCCTTCAACAGTTAAATGCAAAACACACTTCAAACGTTTCAGTAATCCTAAATAAATTTACAGCTTACTTCTCAAATCTGACTTAATATCCTGCATCTGAGAGCCAAACCAAGAACGACACATTGGCAAAAAAATGGAGAACTAGAAAACTTACCTGTGCAACCGTGTTCTGGCACCAACAGTACAACAAAGATGCTGTTGTTGTAAAGGGTTTTACCACGTTTTTTATACTGGGCAAGGCTAATGACCAGAATGAGGACAGATGGCTTGGAACAGACGATGTGTTCAGAGGAAGATCACCTGCTGACCTGGGACAGAACATTTCAGAGTAAGGCCATAATTAAAATCTATCATTTCAGCCCTTTTAAAGTTTAATTGTCACCAATCACGTGGAAATTACATGCACCAGTACCAGCTGGTGACAACAGTATAAACGTGAGCACAGAGACCAAGAAAGACCAGATACATTCTGATAAAAGGGAAGGGGGGTAATATCTGCCATTTATTTTTATCCAAACTACTTTTCCTGCACATTAAAGTTAATGGCAGAGTGATAGATATACAAGATGTAACAATTACACAGCATCCATACACCGGGATGTAGATAGGCTTCAAAAATAATTGTCACCTGAGTTTTATGTAATACTGGAATCAAACAGTGGACCCAGACATTGAGTTAAAAGAAGTTCCAACGGAGCTCCTTACCGTGGAGGACAACCTGAGCTCTGGGGAGTTGTAGCATCTCCTTTTATTTTCAGTAGAAATTTTGCTCTGGCTCTTGGTTTTCGTCGGTGTTTCTTATACCTCGCCATTGCTGTTAAAAAAGCCACATATAAAGTCAAGGTGCAGAAATGTACCTGCTTTCACGTGAGGACAGAGCCATCACCAAATCGGCAGGGAAAACAGACGGCATCACAAATAAACAGAAGATATTCACAGCTGTCCTGCTAGAGGCAGCGTGTAGTTAAAAACTACATCCTTCTATTAAGTCCCCGTGATCCACCGGGATGTGTTTTAACACGAGAGAGAGGAGCCAACAACATTAAAAAAAGACCATATTCCGTGGGCTTTTGCTGGCAGCTTCTCCTTAACCTGACGTGACAAACGCTGCATTTTGGGAAAGCTGCGGAGAACAAAAAGGCACGAAGACACCACAGAAGGGCCCGGGGCTCCCCCAGCCCTGAGCTCAGCAGCTCCCGGGGACCCCGCACACCTGGGACCGGAGGGGGTATCAGGGGGTATCAGGAGGAGGTATCGGGGGGACCAGGAGGGGGTGTCGGGGGGTCCCCGGCCCTGCCCCCCCC